TCATTGAGCTTTTAGGAGGATACTCTGTAAAAAGTGCTCACCTCAATGGCATCATTAGACCTGTTAACAGTAGTATTCAATCATTTGATCACATCATCTTCACAACACAAGTGGGTGGATCGCCTGAGGTCAGGAGTTCAAGACCAGCCTGACTAACATGGTGAAAACCTGTCTCTACTAAAAATACAAAAATTAGCTGGGCGTGATGGTGGGTACCTGTAATCCCAGCTACTTGGGAGGCTGAGGCAGGAGAATCACTTGAACCTGGAAGGTGGAGGTTGTAGTGAGCTGAGATTGCTTGTCACTCCAGCCTGGGTGACAAGAGCAAAATTCCGTCTCAAAATAAATAAAGAAAGAAAATTAGCTCGGTGTGGTGGCACGCACTTATAGTTTCAGCTACTGGGGAGGCTAAGGCAGGAGAATTGCTTGAACCCAGGAGGCAGAGGTTGAGGTGAGCTGGGATCGTGCCATTGCACTCCAGCCTGGGCAACAAGAGCGAAACTCCATCTAAAACAAACAAACAAAACAACACCAAATATCTGTTTGAGTACTTGCCTTCTATTCTTTTGGGTATATACTCAGAAGTGGAAGTGCTGGATCATGTGGTAATTCTGTTTAATTTTTTTGAGGAAATGGCATACTGTGTTCCATACCAGTTGCACCATTTTGCATTCCCAGTGACTTATGTCTTTTTTTTTTTTTTTTTTTTTTTTTTTTTTGAGAAGGAGTCTCGCTCTGCCACCCAGGCTGGAGTACAGTGGCCGGATCTCAGCTCACTGCAAGCTCCGCCTCCCGGGTTCACACCATTCTCCTGCCTCCGCCTCCCGAGTAGCTGGGACTACAGGCGCCCACCACCGCGCCCGGCTAATTTTTTGTATTTTTAGTAGAGACGGGGTTTCACCATGATAGCCAGGATGGTCTCGATCTCCTGACCTTGTGATCCGCCCGTCTCGGCCTCCCAAAGTGCTGGGATTACAGGCTTGAGCCACCGCGCCCGGCCGACTTATGTCTTTTAAAAGATTATTTTCAGGCAAATGAAGACCAGACTTAAGGAAGGCAAGAGTGGATGCAGAAATATTTGTTAAGAGGCTCTTTTTTTTTTTTTTTTTTTTTGAGACGGAGTCTCGCTCTGTCACCCGGGCCGTGCACTTTTTTTGAGACAGAAGTCTTGCTCTGTGCGCCCAGGCTGGAGTGCAGTGGCCGGATCTCAGCTCACTGCAAGTTCGCCTCCCAGGTTCGCTGCCATTCTCCTGCCTCAGCCTCCCAAGTAGCCAGCACTACAGGCACCCGCCACCTCCAGCCCGGCTAGTTTTGTATTTTTAGTAGAGACATGGTTTCACTATGTTAGCCAGGATGGTCTCGATCTCCTGACCTCGTGATCCACCGTCTCGGCCTCCCAAAGTGCTGGGATTACAGGCTTGGCCACCGCGCCCGGCCGACTTATGTCTTTTAAAAGATTATTTTCAGGCAAATGAAGACCAGACTTAAGGAAGGCAAGTGGATGCAGAAATATTTGTTAGAGGGCTCTTTTTTTTTTTTTTTTTTTTGAGACGGAGTCTCGCTCTGTCACCCGGGCTGGAGTGCAGTGGCCGGATCTCAGCACAGGCCACATTCTCCTGCCTCAGCCTCCCGAGTAGCTGGGACTACAGGCGCCCGCCACCTGCGCCCGGCTAGTTTTTTGTATTTTTAGTAGAGGAGGGTTTCACTGTGTTAGCCAGGATGGTCTCAATCTCCTGACCTCGTGATCCACCGGTCTCGGCCTCCCAAAGTGCTGGGATTACAGGCTTGAGCCACCGCGCCCGGCCGCCTCCCAAAGTGCTGGGATTACAGGCTTGAGCCACCGCGCCCGGCCAAGAGGCTCTTGTAATTAACCATGAGATTGATTATGGTAGCTTGTATCTACATAGTAACAGTGGAGGTGGTGAGAAGTCACTAGATTGTGGTTTTGTTTGAAAGGCAGAGCCAACTGGATTTGCTGATAGGATTAGTTTGGGATATGAAAGAGAGAAAGCAAGGATGACTCCTAGGTTTTTGGCTTGAGCAACTGGAATAATGAGGTTTCCATTTACAAATGTGGGAAAGTTTGCAGGAAGATGAGGTGGATAAATCAGGAGTTCGTTTTGGGACATGTTAAATATAATACACCTATTACACATCCAAATAGACAAAATGAGCCTGATGTTCAGAGAAAATGTATGGGTTGGAGAGAAAATTTGAGAGCTATCAGCATATATGTGGCATTTAAAAGTATGAGATTTGTAAGATGGCTCACGCCTGTAATCTCAGCACTTTGGGAGGCCAAGGTGGGCAGATCACTAGAGACCAGGAGTTCAAGACCAGCCTGGGCAACATAGTGAGGCATTGCTAAAGAAAAATTAAAAGTAAGGCAACACAGGGAGACTTCATCTCTATTTAAGAAAATGATAATAATAGCTGGGCTTGATGGTGCATGCCTGTAGTCCCAGCTACTCAGGAGACTGAGGTAGGAGGATTGCTTGAGTCCAGGAAGTCAAGGCTGCAGTGAGCCATGATCGTGCCACTGCACTCCAGCCTGGGCAAGTGACATGGTTTAGCTCTGTGTTCCCACCCAAATCTCATCTTGTAGCTCCCATAATTCCCATGTGTTACGGAAGGGACCCGGTGAGAGATGATTGAATCATGGTAGAGGCGGGTCTTTCCCATACTGTTCTTGTAAAAGTGAATGGTTCTCACGACAGCTGATGGTTTTAAAATCAGGAGTTTCCCTGCACAAGTTCTCTTCTCTTGTCTGCCATCATGTGAGATGTGCCTTTTACCTTCCTCCATGATTGTGAGGTCTCCCTGGCCACGTGGAACCACGAGTCCAGGAAAACTTTTGTAAATTGCCCAGTCTCAGGTATATCTTTATCAGCAGTGTGAAAACGGACTAATATGGCAACAGAGTAAGATCCTGTCTTAAAAATAAAATAAAATGGGCCAGGCGCAGTGGCTCTTGCACTCCACTGTACTCCCAGCACTGTACTCCCAGCACTGTGGGAGGCTGAGGGAGGTGGATCACCTGAGGCCAGGAGTTCAAGACCAGCCTGGCCAACATGGTGAAACCCCGTCTCTACTAAAAATACAAAATTAGCCGGGCGTGGTGGTGGGCACCTGTAATCCCAGCTACTTGGGAGGCTGAGGCAGGAGAATCGCTTGAACCCAGGAGGCAGAGGTTGCAGTGAGCCAAGACTGTGCCACTGCAGTCCAGCCTGGGCAACAGAGTGAGACTCCATCTCAAAAAAAAAATAAATAAATAAAATAATGAGACTTTATGAGAACATCTGGGGAATGACTATAAACATCAAAAAGGGGGACACCAAGGGCTTAGCCCTCTCCCAGGGAATGTCCCATTCCAGCAACAAGAAGGTGGTGAGAAAACAGCAAAGAATACTGAGGAGATGCCAATGAACGGGGAAGAAAGTCAAGAGGGAATGATGTCCTGGAAGCCAAATGAAGAAAGTGGTCAACTGTGTCAACTAAGACGTGGATGTAAAACAAGAACTGAAAATTGGCCACTCCTCTTGGTGACCTTAAGAAAGTTATGTCAAGCTGGGCGCAGTGCTTCATGCCTATAATCCCAGCACTTTGGGAGGCCGAGGCGGGAATATCACCTGAAGTCAGGAGTTCGAGACTAGACGGCCAACATGGTGAAACCCCATCTCTACTAAAAATACAAAAATTAGTCAGGCGTGGTGGTGGGCCCTTGTAATCCCAGCTACTTGGGAGGCTGAGGCAGGAGAATCGCTTGAACCCAGGAGGCAGAGGTTGCAGTGAGCTGAGATCACACCACTGCACTCCAGCCCCGGTGACAGAGCAAGACTCTGACTCAAAATAAAGTAAAATAAAATGAAACGAAATAAAATAAAATAAAATAGATGTGTCTGTCTTCCACAGGGAGGACGTGGGATGGCGGTGGAGCTGGCTGAAGCAGAGCTACCAAATAAATAAATATAAAATAAATAAAATAAAATAAAATAAATAAAAGAAAGTTATTTCAAAGGATTGTCTGAGAGGCAAAATCCTAACTGCAGTGAGTTCAAGAGAGAATGGGAAGAGAGGGGAGTTGGAGACTATGATTAGGCAACGCTTTTGCTGTAAAGGGGAGTAGGGAAACCGTGAGGGATCTAGACAGGGCTGGTTTTTGTTTGCCTTTGAGATGGGAGAAACAGCAGTACGGATGATGACAAGGATAATACAGTCATCAGAGGGAAATGAGATGAAGGGGGGATTACTAGATCTATGTCCTTAAGCAAACAAGAGGCGACGGGATGTACCGCACATGTGGAGGGGTTGACCTTAGCTAAAGTCCAAAGTATGTGGGCTGTGGAATCTCCCTTCCAAACGCAGTGGAACTCAATGCAGGCTGTCTCTGGATTTCTCCAGACCACCTCCAACTGGCATTGTTCTGAGCCGGGCCACCGAAAGTTGAGATTACTGAATGTGTGTCTGTCTCCCATTAACCTGGGAGCCCTCCAAAGGTTGCATCTAAGTCGCCTCTGAATTCTTCACATTCCTCCAAACTCTGGGCCAGAGTCCCGCAGTATGGGCTTATTGAATTAGCCTGAAGAGACACAAAGCAGCCTCGACGCAGCTGGTTTCACAAAGGGGGGCGGTGCTAACCCTGCGCTCTGGGATCCTGACGTTCGAGCTATCTCTCCTCCTCCCCTCTGCTCCCAGCTCTCCGCCGTCCAGCAGGTCGGCTGATCATCGTCCATAGAGGCCACCGTACCGGACGTTTGCGGACAGCGACAGAGTCAAGTTTGGTGGAGGTGGAGCCTGAGGACAGGACTGAATGACGATTGAACTGAGAGTTCAGGGGCGGAGTTTGAGGGAGAACTCGGGACAGAGACTGGACCGAGACTGGAGACTTAAGGGAGGCGGGACCTAATGATGGAGCAGGGAAGGGATTGGGCTGAGGGCGGTGCCGGCGCGAGGATTGGGCCGAGCGCTTCGGGGCGGTCCTTGAGGGGGCGGTGCCGTGTCGGAAGTCAAAGGTCAGTAAATAGTGGTGATGTCATGCAGGCAAGATGGCGGAAGGGTGAGCCCGTCGTTTTGCTCCTAGGCGTTGGGGCCTGAATTCTCCCAGGGTTGGGGTGCTGGGCGAGAGTCTGGGTGGGGAACATGAGATCAGCGCCGGCGTGGACTGATCTGAAAGGGCAGAGTGGAGTCGCACTGTGAGGGGGTGGGGAAGCGGTCTGCGAAGCCTCGGCCCGCGGGGTACATCTGAGGGGGAAACAGACCGGATCCTTGGGCGGGCAGGAATCGCACCGCAGTACTGCCAGATGTGTCTCTCTTCCACAGGGAGGACGTGGGATGGTGGCGGAGCTGGCTGCAGCAGAGCTACCAAGCAGTCAAAGAGAAGGTAAGCCGGGCCCGTGCCCTTCTTCCCTCACCAGGGCCCTGCGCCGCCTCAGTGCAACCTGGTCCAACCAGCCCCGCCCAACTTTTGCGGGCGCTAAGTCTTAAGGATGAGGCTGACCCGGGCCTTTATTTTAGCCTCTACCGGTCCACGGCAAGAAGACAGACCTCGACGCAAACCAGTGTGATACTAGCCACAGTGAAATAAAGATGGTTTTAAAGGCTGGAGTTAACGAACGTTTTGTAGGAATCCATAGGAAGGAGCAATTTATTTCAGTTCAGGAAATTCAGTTTCTTCGTGAAAGAGAGAACGTTTGATACAGGTCTTGAAGGAAAAGATTCTAGCAATAAAAAAAACTTACTCGTATACTCATTCAAATATTAGAGTATATGCGACAGCCAGCGCTCTAATAGGTCTTGAGGATACAGACTTCAGCCAGACACATGTAATCCTGAGCCTTACAAAGCTCACAGTCTAGTGGGGAGACAGCCATTAACCGAGTAGCCAAACAGTTGTTTAGTTACCGTTGTGGTAAGTTCTGTGAAAGGAAAGTACTGGGGCTCCTTGTCTATTCTAGGTAGTCAGTAACTCACCAGGGAAGGCCTCTTGGGGAAGGAACCTTATCAAGGCCAACCCTGCCTAGACAGAATGAAAAGCAAGAACCCAAGCCAGAGATGAGCATGAGCCATACACACTGGTACCTGATAAGTTCTAAGTAAGGGCTATGCAGCGGGCGATAGAGAGAGAGATTAGTCACCAGAGAGTGGAAGGCCTTCTTGCTGAACAATCTCTGTGGGATGAGTGATATTTGGCTGTGCCAGTGGGTAATTTGCCAATGTGTATTCCTGTTTCATTTCATGCTTGTTTGTCAAAATCAGCCCAACCGAATTGTGGGAAAAGTTGATTACTGTTTACCTCAAGCAACTGGGGTAAGTCCTGCCTCAGGGCCAACTCCAGGAAGCTTCTGACCTCACCTAAATAAGTCCCCTCCTCTGGGAATATTTTTGTTTTGTTTTGAGACAGAGTCTTACTCTGTCGCCTAGGCTGGAGTGCACAGGTACGGTCTCAGCTCACTGCAACCTCTGTCTCCCAGGTTCAAGCGATTCTTGTGTCTCAGCCTCCCAAGTAGCTGGGATCAGAGGCGTGTGCCACTACTCCTGGCTAATTTTTGTATTTTTAGTAGAGACAGGGTTTCACCATGTTGGCCAGGCTGGTCTGGAACTCCTCACCTCAGGTGATCCACCCACCTCAGCCTCCCACAGTGCTGGGATTACAGGCGTGAGCCACCACACCCAGACATCTGGGAGCGTTTTTGTTCCTCCCCTATCCTGGGTACTCCTGGACAGCCTCTCAGCAATAGCCCAGGAAATCTGAGAATGCCCTGAGCTGTTTATGTTGTTGATGAGGACTAAGAGAGAGGACTGCACCCTAACATTTGATAGAAAAGACCAGGAAGTAGCATGTTTCCTGTTGGGTAATTTCCTGGCAGGAAAGTCTGACATTCATTCAGCAGATGTTGCATGAGGGCCTCTTGTGTTTCTCTCAAGGTTGGTGTTACCACAACTTGTGAAAGATAGATAGTTGGCCAACCTTCCATCTTCATTCTTGGAATTCCCAGTTAAAAGCTGGGGTGGGGGTGGAGGTGGGAGTCTTTTTGGAAAGAAAAAGCTTAATTTCCCTTTTTTTACTTTCTTACTTACTCTTATATGTACTTGGGCAAGTGTTGTTTGTTTTTTGTTTGTTTGTTTGCTTTTGAGACCGAGTCTGGCTCTGTTACCCAGGCTGGAGTGCAGTGGTTCAATCTCGGCTCTGCAACTTCTGCCTCCCAAGTTCAAGTGATTCTCCTGCCTCGGCCTCTTGAGTAGCTGGGATTATAGGCGTGCGCCACCATGCCCAGCTAATTTTTTGTATTTTCAGTAGAGACAGAGTTTCACCACGTTGGCCAGGCTGGTCTCCAGCTCCTGACCTCAGGTGATCCGCCTGCCTCAGCCTCCCAAAGTGCTAGGATTACAGGTGTGAGCCACCACACCTGGCCTCTTGGGGAAGTTTTTAACCTCTCTAGGCCTCAGTTCCTCATCTATATAATAGGAATACTAACAATACCTACCTGATGAGATTGTGGTGATGGTTAAATGTTAGTATATATAAAACACTAAAAACAGTACCTAGCATATAGTAAGTGCTGTATAAGTGTTAGCTGTTATTAGATGCCAGGCTGATGGGAAAACCTCTTAGATACCACCCCCAGTTCGTTTTTCCTTCTATTTTTTTTCTTGGTCTTTTGGTGCTTTCCTATATTTTTGTCCCATTCTGGCTCCATTTGGACCACTCACTTCTCAACACTCCTTAGAATACATTGCCCTGAAGACTACAGCTATGAGATGGTGCTATCATCTGCTTTCCTCTGCTCCTTACCTCCTCCTGTCCTGTCTTCCTGTGTGTTGTCCAGGGCAACACGACTGACACAAATACTTGTGCATACACGTTGATAGAGAAAGACACGTCGTTGCTCTGCATACTTACCAGAAAGAAAAAAATTAAAAAGAGAAAGGTACCAAATGCTTTTTGGTTCCATCACGGATTCGCCAACCTCATCTGGGCCCACATACTCTTCAGTCTCCAATTTGCTTTTCTTCCCCTTAACTTCAGAAACTTTCCCAAAACCTAACTCTTCCCTCGGGTCCCCTATTCAGCCACTTTATCCCTTTCACTTCCAGGAGACAACCTCATCTACTTTTTGAAACTTCAGGTCAACAAACAGGATCTTTAACTCCCTCCCCACCCTCAGAGCCACCAACTATAAACTTATCTTTACTCACACACAGCTTCACCTACCACTTGCCAAATCCAGTGGGTGGTTTTCAGCCCTTATCTTCCTGGACCTTTCTGCTGCATTTGACACTAGTGATCACTCCCTCTCTTGAAACACTACTCTCTTGGATTTTGTGACATGATTCTTAAGTCTCCACATCTCCAGACGTTGCTTTTGTAACTGTTTCATGAGTTCTTCTTCCTCTGCTTGCCCCCTACAGTTGGTGTCTGAGGACACTTATCCTCAGCCCCTTGCTCTGTCCACTTTCCAAACTCTTCCTGGGTCACCTTCTCCACTTTTCTGTTAGGGTGACTCTTAGACCTTTTCCCTGAACTTTAATGTTGTGTTGTGTTTTGTTTTGAGACGGGCCCTCGCTTTGTCACCCAAGCTGAAGTGCTGTGATGCAAACATGGTTCTCTGTAACCTCTACTTCCTGGATTCAAGCAATCCTCCCACCTCAGGCCCCCAGGTAGCTGGGACTATAGGCGTGTACCACCACGCCCAACTAATTTTTGTATTTTTTTGTAGAGATAAGATATCGCCATGTTACCCAGGCTGGTCTCAAACTCCTGGGCTCAAGCAATCTGCCCACCTTGGTCTCCCAAAGTGCTGGGACTATAGGCATGAGCCATCATGCCTGGCCAGCTTTAGTGTTTGAGGATGGCTATTGCTGGACAGCTATCCTAGACAGCCCACAGTCATCTCAAGTTCTGCGTGCCCAAAGTCATTGTTACCACCTTCTCTCTAGAACTGCTCCTCCTCCAGGATTTTCTCATTTCGCTGGCAGTACTGCATCTACCCAGTCACCTATTTTAACAGCCTGTGGCACTTCCATGATTCTTTTCTAGCCCTCAGTCAGTATACCTGTTCAGTCACCAAATCCACGTTCTTCTGCCTCCTATCTCTTGAACCAGTCTCATCCTCTCTGTCTTTACTAGCATTGTCCTTACTCATATTTTTCTATTTTCTTTCCTGGATTATTGCAGCAGCCTCCTGACTGGTCTTCCTTCCTCTTCTAATCTTCTCATCTCTGGACCTTTGCTCCATTCCAGTCACTGGAGTAATTTAGTGAAAAGGCAAATCTCATATCCCACCCACTTCAAACCTGTGGTGGCTCCTCATCATCCTAGGGCTGACCAGGCCCTCCCTGGTTGCCCTTGGCAACCTCTCCAGCTTTATCCCTCACCACTCTTGCTTCACATTTTATGTCCGTCAGGACTATAATGCTTGTAGATGTCAGTAAACCCCATGTCAACACTTCTTAGCTGACTCCTGTTCCTTTTTTTTTTTTGAGACAAGGTCTCACTCTGTTACCCAGGCTGGAGTGCAGTGGCGTGATCACAGCCCACCACTGCAGCCTCAACCACCCGGGCTCAGGTGATTCTCCCACCTCAGCCTCCTGGGTAGCTGGGACTACAGGCGCGTGCCACCACCCCTGGCTAATTTTTTGTATATATATATTGTGGAGACGGTTTTGCCGTGGTGCCCAAACTGGTCTCAAATTCCTGGGCTCAAGCAATCTTCCTGCCTCGTCTTCCCAAAGTGCTGGGATTACAGGCGTCAGCCACCACACCTGGCCCACATCAGTACTTCTTAATCGACTCCTGTTCATTCTTTAAGAGCCCATTTCAGGCCTCCGGTCACCACATCTTCCTAACCTCCCCATAGTACAGCGGCTACTGCTCTGCCCTTGCACATCAGCACTATCGTGGGACTATTTTCCCCAGTATACTGTGACCTGCTTGAGGGCAACATCTGTTCATGTTTGTCTGCTCAGAGCTCACAATTAGTGGGAAGACAACCATTTAGTCACACAAGTGGTTACATAACTGAAATTTCAGTGGTCCTTGTAAATTTAACAAGCAAACTTTTTTGAGCACCTACTGTATGCTCTGTGTCAGATACTGGGGAACCATCAGGGAACAACACACATAGGACCTGTATTCACAGAACTCACAGTTTATCCAGGAAGACAGACATTGAACAGGTCATCATAAGTCTAAAGTATGTTCTTTAGACTTATGATGAGATAAAGAAGAGATAAATTGGGAGGCTGAGGTGGGCGAATCACAAGGTCAGGAGATCGAGACCATCCTGGCTAACATGGTGAAACCCCATCTCTACTAAAAATACAAAAAATTAGCCGGGCACATCAGCACTATTATGGGACCATTTTGAGTGCTCCTGTGGTTTATTCTTCTGGGAAGGGCCTGCCCACTTTTCATTAGCTTGGGAAGTTTCTGAATGGGACAGTCTCACATATCAGCTACAGGCTTCTCTGGGGGGTGGTAATCATGCCTCCCCGAGGTGGCAAGCACCTGTAGTCCCAGCACTTGGGAGGCTGAGGCAGGAGAATGGCTTGAACCCAGGAGGCGGAGGTTGCAATGAGCCGAGATCGCACCACTGCACTCCAGCCTGGGTAACAGAGGGAAACTCCGTCTCAAAAAAAAAAAAAGAAGAGATAAAGCAGGGAAAGCCAGCTGAGTCTGAAGAGGCAGCAGGGAAGCTCCTCTAGGGAAATGGAGCATAGACTTTAAGGATGAGCAGTAGTTTTCCAGATAAGAGGGTTCCTTCATTGTGTTTGCAGCTTGCTTGTTTTGAAGAGTTAGAACTCTGTATCAGGGAGAGGAAACAATGTGTTCAGATACCCTGAGGCAGGGCAGATGCTAGGGCATTTTAGAAACTTGAGGAAGGCCAGCTGGAGCTCAGTGAAGGGCACGGTGGTAGGGGATACCAATCAGCCAGAGGCCAAGTTATATAGGCCTTGTAAGTAAACGTGGATTTTCAACTTGCTGTTATGATAGTGTGTAAACTTAAAGAGTGTAAAGCAGCAGGGTCTGCCCTAACAGACAAAGCACCCACTGGGTGTCATAAGGAGAATAAAGTAAAGGTAGCTGAGACAACCTGGGAGGAATCCAGATAAAAGAACAAGTTGGCCTGGACTAAGGTGGTGGCAGTGTGGGTAGAAAGAGTGAATCGGTAAATGACCCGGGGGACAATTTCATGGTGCCGTGAAATTTTTTTTTTAATTTTAATAAAAGTAAATAAGTAAATTACCCCCTCCATCCCCAATTAAGGAGTCCTGAATCGATATGGAGGCTTGATTACCACCCCCAGAGAAGCCTGTAGCTGATATGTGAGACTGTCCCATTCAGAAACTTCCCAAGCTAATGAAAAGTGGGCAGGCCCGTCCCAGAAGAGCAACCACAGGAGCACTCAAAAACATGCTTTTAAAAATGCAGGTGATTATCCCCGTGTAAAATGACAGGGCTTGCAGGGGGAGTGGCCACTGAGATACTCCAGGAAGGCGTCCTAGAGTTGATGAGTGAAGCAAGACAGGGCAAGACCTAGAAGTGAGCTGAGGGCCTGCTTTCTCCAGTGAGGTCTGGGCGCAGACGAGAAGCAGATTGGTTTAGCAGGAGCAAATATGAGTTCTGCCCAAAGGAGCTTTGTATATGAATAGAACCTTGGGATGGTAGAACCAAAAAGGCCTTCAAGATAATCTGATCCAGTTGTTATCTTGACTGCTTCCTCCTTTGTTGAATGTAAAAATCACATGCCTTTTTACTGATATTAAATTGTTAAGAATTACTCATAAAACAGCTTTCCAAGCTATTGCTGTTACTAATACAATTAGTAATTACTAATTCTTAAACCTGAAGGCAAATAACTTCACCTACTGCCTCATATTTCAACTTAATTTCCCTGTAACAAAAAAAGTAAAAATAGAAACACTTTCCTTTGATTAAAAAAAATCACATGCCTTAGGCTGGGTGGCTCACGCCTATAATCCTAACACTTTGGGAGGCCAAGGTGGGCAGATCACCTGAGATTGGTAGTTCGAGACCAGCCTGACCAACATGGAGAAACCCCATCTCTACTAAAAATACAAAATTATCTGGGCGTGGTGGCGCTGCCTGTAATCTCAGCTACTCGGAGGCTGAGGCAGAAGAATTGCTTGAACCCGGAAGGTGGAGGTTGCGATGAGCCGAGATTGTGCCATTGCACTCCAGCCTGGGCAACAGGAGCGAAACCCCGTCTCAAGGGGGAAAAAAAAATCACATACCTTTTTTTCATGTTATTTGAAACTTGATATGAATATCATGATTTAAAGCATATCAAAGCAATTAATCAAAGCCAGTATTGTTTTCAGACTGACTGTGCCCCCCCTTTTCCAGTTTGTGCTTGAGAATCTCTGGTCTAGATCGCCTCCCTCATTTTATAGGAGAAAACTGAGGACTAGATGAGACTTACTCATGGCCAGATAGCTTGTGAGTGCCTAGGCTGAGACTCAGTCTTCATGCTCAGAGTAGCAGGAAATTCCCCTGCACTCTCTGCTGTCAGGTAATCCCAGATCATGGAATTGGGACAAATGAGCTTTGTTTCTGAGCCCAAGCTCCCCTGCCATTTGAGATTTCCATGTGTCTGTCTGGTACTGAAGAAGCACAAGGAACAGGAACAAGGGGTGGTGGGGCCAGCTGGCCCTGGCATCCCTCTCTGTCTTCCCACAGTCCTCTGAAGCCTTGGAGTTCATGAAGCGGGACCTGACAGAGTTTACCCAGGTGGTGCAGCATGACACGGCCTGTACCATCGCAGCCACGGCCAGTGTGGTCAAGGAGAAGCTGGCTGTGAGTACCACCCAAACCCTCCCAAGTAACTGCCCCTCGCAACCTGCCCTGTCCTGGGTTCCCAACTGTTAAGTGATTATTTTTTTCTACCGTTAAGTGATTATTTTTCCTCCCATTTTGAAAGAATTGTGTCTGGCAACCAAACAAGCTGCATATTTTAAGTAATAACTAGTTTTTCCACTTCTGTATTGTTTTAGCAAATGCTTTCCATTAGCAAAGTCATTCATGTTGACAATTTAGAAAATATAGGCAAGTAAAAGAGAAAGAATGAAGAAAGGAAGAAAGCGAGAGAAAGACCTAGAGACATCCATAACTCCATCTCCCAAAGATAACTACTGTTAATATTTTGGGGGTGTATCCCTGATATACACTTCTTTTTCAAAATGGGGGTCAACTGAATACCATGTTTTGTAACCTTTTTTTTTTTTTTTTGAGACAGAGTCTCCATTTGTCGCCCAGGCTGGAGTGCAGTGGCGCCATCTCGGCTCACTGCAAGCTCCGCCTCCTGGGTTCACGCTATTCTCCTGCCTCAGCCTCCCAAGTAGCTGGGACTACAGGTGCCTGCCACAATGCCCGGCTAATTTTTTGTATTTTTTAGTAGAGACAGGGTTTCACCATGTTAGCCAGGATGGTCTCGATCTCCTGACCTCGTGATCCGCCTGCCTTGGCCTCCCAAAGTGCTGGGATTACAGGCATGAGCCACAGCACCCGGCCCCTGTTTTTTTACTTAAATTGCAAACCTTGTTCCGGAGTGTAATAAATGGCATGATATTCCACTATGTGGATTTAACCAGTTGCTGCTTTCCTATTTCAGTTTTTTCCAGTATTGTACACAGAGCTACAGTAAACATTCTGCTAAACCTTTGCCCAGTGCCATAATATTTGCTTTATAATATAATTGTGGAAGGTATCACAGAGTGGTTAGTTTAAGCCTTTTACTATACTCAAAACTGCCCTCCAGAAATGTTGTACCAACTTATTTTCTTACTGGTCCTGTTTTTTGTTGGTGGTTGCTGTTGTTTTGAGATGGGGTCTCACTCTGTCACCCAGGCTGGAGTGCAGTGGCATGATCTCAGCTCACTGCAACCTTTGCCTCCCGGGCTCAAGTGATCCTCCTACCTCAGCCTCCCGAATAGCTGGGACCACAGATGCATGCCACCACACCCAGCTCATTTTTGTATTTTTTGTAAAGGCAGGGTTTCACTCTGTTGCCCAGGCTGGTCTCAAACTCCTGAGCTTAAGCGATCCACCTGCTTTGGCCTCCTGAAGTGCTGGGATTACAGGGGTGAGGCACCATGCCTGGCTTGTTTGTTGTTTTCTGGTTTTAGATTCAGGGGATACATGTGCAGGTTTGTTACATGGGAATATACTGAGGTTTGGGCTTTTAATGAACCCATCACCAGCTAGTACCCCATAGGTAGTTTTTCAGTCCTTGTCCCCCTCCCCCAGTACTGTTTTTATTAATCAGAAATGTACAGTGGAAACCTTTTACAAGATGGAGGTTAGGTTCTAAAGTCAGCGTGAGAAGGAAAAATTGTGGTCAAAGATATCCCTGCAAAGTTCTGAAGTTTCCAGTGAGGTAAAGCATACTGTTTTTTATATTACAATTTTCCCTTTAGCATTGGAACAAATTGCAGCTTCTTAATTTGATCACCAGCTGAATCAATTATCTTGTAATTAATTACTCATGTTATGAAAAATGAGTTTTGCAATTTTTTAGTCAAACTTATTTTGCTGAATCCTCTTGTAAAATATTGTCTCCATTCTAACCACAGCTGCTGATGAGCATGAATGACAAGTTGTAACCCTGCTGAACTGCTATAAGTCTAGCCAGTAGCAGAGATATCACTTATTTCATTCATTTATTCATTTATTTTTATTCAACAAATATTGTTAACCTGTAACAATATGTGCCAGGCACTATGATAGGTTATAGGTTTAAAATGCTTTGTCAGCTTAATCAAGAATAAGTATAATTTTCCACGAGGTTTTTAGACCCTGTTCTCAGCACCCTATCCCTGCCTGCTGGAAGGCATTCTGACCAGTGTGGTCTGTATAGTGACCCTCAATTAGTCCCAGGCAAGGCAAGGCTACCTGTTCTAATCCTGCCCATATGTTTCCAGCCTTTTGTACAAAGTATTCTACTTCCTGAGCAATGATGATGATGAAATTGCAATATTACAGTGCTGCAGTTTATTAAGTGTATGCTGTGTGCCAGGCATTGTCCATGCCCTATCTTTTAATCTTCGTGGTAACCCTATGAAGGATGTATACTTGTCCCCATTTTACAATAAGGAAACTCAGGTTCAGAAAGGGTTTTGGTCTCATGACCAACAAGTGGTAGAGCAAGGATTCCACCACTCTACCCATAGGCCCTCTTCCCCACTGATATGTCTGTGGCATGGACCTTCTCTGGCCAAGTTTTGACCAGCCTGACTGGCCTTGAAATTTTGATGAAACAGCCAATCAAAGATCTTTACTCTGATCTACGCAGGCCTACCATGGCCCTGTTCTGCAGCCCCACTTGGGGGATGGAGGACCCTTGCTTCCTCCTCCTCCTTCTCCAGCCCCAAAGATGGGTGAAGAGTCGTGAGCACCTCCCTGGTCCCCCAACACACGGTACACCTTTGCCCCAATGTTTTACCCCCATACCCCAGATTGCAGCCTGTTGCCGGGGCGCTTGCTTCCTCTGCCCATTCTCTATACAGACAGAAGGCTCCTCAGGAGCAACGGAGAAGATGAAGAAAGGGTTGTCTGACTTCCTAGGGGTGATCTCAGACACCTTTGCCCCCTCGCCAGACAAAACCATCGACTGCGATGTCATCACCCTAATGGGCACACCATCTGGCACAGCTGAGCCCTATGATGGCACCAAGGTATTCACTGACAGTCTCCCCTACAGATGCCTAACATCTGTAACCTGGGCTTTAACTTACAACCTGTACTCACAAAAGCAACCCATGTTCAGGCCAAAAAATAAATATGGCTATATTATTAATAGTAAATCCAAAAATACCAGTAAGCAAGGACAAGTTAATTATTTTTAAACTCATAATTGCATCACCCAAAGAGAACCCCTGATTTCTTATTGGTATATAACCTTACGTTTGTTTTTGTTTGTAAACATAGGTAAAGATAGTTTGGTTTTTTCTTTTGAACAAAAAAGACATTTTATACATGCGGTTTTGTAACCTGCTTTTAAAAAACCAACAAACGTAGCATCTTTCCTAATCACCTTTTTTTGGTTGTTGTTGTTTTCTTTTTTTTGAAACGGAGTCTCGCTGTGTTGCCCAGGCTGGAGTGCAGTGGCCGGATCTCAGCTCACTGCAAGCTCTGCCTCCCGGGTTTATGCCATTCTCCTGCCTCAGCCTCCCGAGTAGCTGGGACTACAGGCGCCTGCCACCTCGCCCGGCTAGTTTTTTGTATTTTTTGGTAGAGACGGGGTTTCACCGTGTTAGCCAAAATGGTCTCGATCTCCTGACCTCGTGATCCGCCCATCTCGGCCTCCCAAAGTGCTGGGATTACAGCTTTGAGCCACTGCGCCCGGCCCTGTTTTGTTTTTTTTAATGAGACAGGGTCTCACTTTGTCACCCAAGCTCTCTCTGGGGCTCAGTGGTGCAGTCACGGCTCACTGCGGCCTCGACTTCCCAGGCTCAAGCGTCCTTCCACGTCAGTCTCCTGAGTAGCTGGGACCACCGGCGTGAACCACCACATCCAACTAATTAAAAAAATTTTTTTTTGGTAGAAACAGGGTCTCATTATGTTGCCCAGGCTGGTCTCAAATGCCTGGACTCAAGTGACTCTCCCACTTTGGTATCCCAAAGTGCTAGGATTACAGGCGTGAGCCACTGTGCCCAGCCAGCCATAATTTTTAATGTCTTTAAATTCTTGCAACTGAATATAGCATTATTTATTCCATTATTTCCTTCATGTTGCATATTTGGATTCCTTTCAGCTTTCAAGCATAATAAGGAATGCATTTTTGAGGCATAATCTCCACATTTGGGTTATTTAGACTAATTTCTAGTAATATATGTATAGGTAAAGGGAGAGAGGTGTCTTCAGAGCACTTAAAGGAACAGCCACGGTAGTGTATTTTTGCTGCATTTTTTCTTCTTCTTCTTTTTTTTTTTTTTTTTTTGAGACAGTCTCACTCTGTCACTCAGGCTAGAGTGCAGTGGCATGATCCCAGCTCACTGCAGCTTCAACTTCCTGGGCTCAAGTGTTCCTCCCACCTCAGCCTCCCTAGTATCTGTAGTAGCAGGGACCACAGGCGTGAACTACCACGCCCGGCTTTTTTTTTTTTTTTTTTTTTTTTTGTAGAGACGAGGTTTCCCTATTCTGCCCAGGCTGGTCTCAAACCCCTGAGCCCAAGTGATCCTCCTACCTCAGCCCCCTGAAGTACTGAGATTACAGGCATAAGCCACCACGCCTGGCCACATTGTGTTTTCTATTTCATGGAGTGTTTTCTTCTAAATTTACAATATAATGTCATGGCAGCTGGGGGCCCTCTTTGTAGTTTGTTCTTTTGAAATAGGGTCTCACTCTGTCCCCCAGGCTGGAGTGCAGTGGTGCGATCACAGTTCACGGCAGCCTCCATCTCCTAAGGTGCTCCTTCCACCTCAGCCTCCTGAGCAGCTGGGACTGCAAGCACACATCACCATGCCCAGCTAATTTTTATACTTGTAGAAACAGGATTTCCCCATGTTGCCTAGGCTGGCTTTGTAGCATTTTATCACATTGAACTTTTTTTTTTTTTTTTGAGACGGCGTCTCTCTCTGTCATCCAGACTGGAGTGCAGTGGAATGATCTTGGCTCACTGCAACCTCCACCTCCTGGGTTCAAGTGATTCTCCTGCCTCAGCGTCCTGAGTAGCTGGGATTACAGGCATGCACCACCATGCCTGGCTAATTTTTGCATTTTTAGTAGAGACAGGGTTTCACCATGTTGGCCAGGCTGGTTTTGAACTCCAGATCTCCAGCAATCCACCCACCTCGGCCTCCCAGAGTGCTGGGATTACAGGCGTGAGCTACTGCACCCGGCCCATGTTGAACTTCTGTTCCAAAAGTACTGATTTTTTAAGTATGTATCAACAAGCACTAGTATTAGCACCACCACTTAGTGAACATGTGAGTGGAATTGTGAAAATGTTTGATAAGATTTTGAGCTATAATGACAGTGAATTATCACCAAAACCACTTACAGACAGCCCATGCTTCCTGTAATACTGAGGAAGAAAGGTGGACTTCGTCTTTGCCAGCTAAGTTTGCCACCCTATGGTCCCAGTGAGAACGTAACTTGGTAGAGACTGGCTATACAATTAATAAATTATTGAATGGTTTTAATTGGAGGGAAATTGTGTTATTTTAAAATTTATCCCTAAATTTTGACTTTATTAATATATGGGCACTAACATTTTTCAAATTTCACTACTACAAAACATTTTACACAAATAATTTTGTAGCCTGCTTATGCTGTATTTTCTTAGCTCCTGGGGTAGAATACTGGGTGAAAGGCCATTTTTCTGGGAACCCCAGTTTTGGATGCCCAGCCTAGTGCTCCACTCTCTGTGCCACAGTGCTAATTAACAAGTGCCCTGGGGGTATCCCAGCCAACAAGGGAGAAGCTGGGTTGTGGTTGACTGAGTATCCTGGCAGAGAAAGGGTGCTTTCTATGCCCAGCATCTCAGGATTTCTGTTTCCTCTTCTCTGTTTCCTACAGGCTCGCCTCTATAGCCTGCAGTCAGACCCAGCAACCTACTGCAATGAACCAGATGGTGAGAGGGTAGCAGTGAGGGGGTGGGCTTGTAGGGCAAGTAGACTAAGGGGGTCTGGTCGTAGGCCCTGTTTGTCTCAGGTAGCAGAGGCCAGGCACCCACTATGTAGGGGGACCAGAGTGAGACTAGTGTGTACCTTATACCGTGTGGGGTGGGTTGATGTTCTCTTTTCTTTCCTGAACTTGAGCTGTCCTGCCCACCCTGCAGGGACTTGGCCCCTCTCATCCCTCATCCTTAGCTCAGCCTCCCTCCCAGCCCTGCTGTCCCACTTGCCTTCTCTTCAGCTTGTGTTGGCTAAGCCCCTGCCACGCAGCAAACCCCATGATGGAAACTGGAGATCAGAAATGAGCCAAACCCTCCACCTAGTCCAGCCCTTCAGGAACTAGCTGTTAAGAGGGAGAAAGCAAAACAGTGAATAAAGTAGAAATACTAGAGAGCAGCATGACGGCTTCTACAGAGCAGCGGGACAGTAGGAGCCCAGAGGAATGGCACCTTTCCTGGTCTGGGAACCAAGCAAGTGATGCTGGAGTTGGGTTTTGTTTGTTTGTTTTTGAGATGGAGTCTCACTTTGTCGCCCAGGCTGGAGTGCAGTGGCGCGATCTCGGCTCACTGCAACCTCTACCTCCCGGGTTCTAGCAGTTCTTTTGACTCAGCCTCCCGAGTAGCTGGGCTTACAGGTGCCTGCCACTGTGTCCGGCTGATTTTTGTAATTTTAGTAGAGACGGGGTTTCACCACATTGGTTAGGCTGGTCTCGAACTCCTGACCTCAGGTGATCCACCCGCCTCGGCCTCCCAAAGTGCAGGGATTACAGGCATGAGCCACCGCGCCTGGACGGAGTTGGAGTTTTAAGGTTAAATGAGACATCAGTTAGCTTCACTATGAGAAGTGGGGAAGGGCATTCAGGCAAAGATTGCTGGGAGAGAGAGCAGGGAGCACCCCACCTTTTAGTAACGCTAGGTTAAAGGGTGCGTATGAGGAAGTGAAGGCAATGAGAGCAGCTCATGGGAGCCAGATTGTGAAGGGCTTGGTGTGCTAGACCAGGCAGTTGGAATTTTGGCTTAAAAGGCTCACAGTAGTAGTTCTAGATACTCTCTTTAGTCACAAAGGCCTTTAAAAATCTATTGAAAATGACAAACCCTCTCTCCACAAAACTTTTTGTGCAATATGGGAATTCTTTGACCCTTTGAAGCCCATCTTGGACTCCAGCTTAAAAAGGCCTCCCATAGAGAACCAATGAAAGTTTTTGAGGCCTGGGGTGATCAGAGTTTGCATTTTGTAAAGCAGCCCTTGGGGCAGCATTGTAAAGAATGAAATAGAAAGACAGAAGACAGGAAGACCATTTAGGAGGCTAGGTAGGAATCCCGTGTCAGAGGTAAGGCCAGAACCTAGGAAGAGTCAGGTGGCATGGAGAGGACAGTGTGCATATAAAAGACACAAGTTAGCCAGGCGTGATGGTGTGCCTGTAGCCTCAGCTATTTGGAAGGTTGAGGCAGGAAGATGACTTGGGCCCAGAAATTCAAGGTTGCAGTGAGCCACAGTTGTGTCACTGCACTCCAGTCTGGTGACAGAGCAAGACTCTCTCTCTTAAAAAATAAAAAAGAGGCAACTGAGGAAGTGTGATCTAGAGTGATTGGATAAGGGAGGAGATAGGATGGCCCCCAGGTTGGATAACCCTGTCAGATAACCAGGTGGGAAGGAAAATGAGCGCATGGTGTGTTTGCAGGTAGAAGTATCGGGGGTACCTGGAGCTCTGGATCTGGGGCCAAGAGAGTAGCCTGGGCTGCAAAGAGAGACACAGTGGGAGGATGAGGTTGAAACTTGTGGTTTAGTGGCAATTATTTTGGGGGAAAAAAGCCAGAGAGAGATGGAAAGGAAAGGAAAACAAAAAACCCACAGAGACTCAAATGGACCAACCAGAGAAGTGGAGGAAAATAACAAAGGAGTGAGAAACCAGGAGAGACAAGGGCTTTTGGAGGAAGGCAATGGCCCCCAGAGTCAGAGATGGTCACACGAGGGAAGACAGAGAAATAGATGTTGGCTCTGGCAGCTGGGGTCATGTGACCTAAGAGCAGCTGTTTCAGAGATGAGGAGATTCAGTAGCCAGGTGCCATGGGCTAAAAAGCGAGCAGGGATATGAGAACATGGAGACTGCAGCCCCTTCTGGAGATCACTCAGGTGCCACACCCGCCCCTTCACCCTGCCTGACCCCCTACCCTTGGCTAAGTGGCTTTGAACACACAAGCTTTCTTCATTTTCCATGTCCAGCCTTAGGTATATTCTGTAGGTCCAGCGTTCTTTCCCCAGACCAAGGGAACTGACTGTCAGCATCTGTCCCTCTGCAGGGCCCCCGGAATTGTTTGACGCCTGGCTTTCCCAGTTCTGCTTGGAGGAGAAGAAGGGGGAGATCTCAGAGCTCCTTGTAGGCAGCCCCTCTATCCGGGCCCTCTACACCAAGATGGTGAGGGCCCAATCTGCAGGGCCTCAGCCAGCTCCAGGCTTGAGGTGTTGGGAGGTGGGAGGGACATGTTCAGAGTCACTGTGGCGTCATCTGGCTCAGAGAGCACTGGGAGGCTCCATAGAGCCAGACCAGCCATGTCCTGAGCCAAGAACTTACATGGGAGAAGCTGGTTTGCCAGGCTTCTGGCAGTCAGAGAATGGTGAGAAATGAAAGGGCCAGCAAAGCCTGATGGGAGTTCTTTTCTCCCTCCTTGGCCAACCCGGACTAGGCCGGTGGGTCTGGCCGAAACTTTGGTCGGGGTGGAAGTGCTCTGTCACTGCTAAGCCACTTACTGGGTCTGATATCCAGACTTGCTGGGAATACACCGATAAGGCTGGGGACACAGACCCCACACAAATACTCCCAAAGTCTCACCTCCATTTTCCCCTCCCTCCAGGTTCCAGCAGCTGTTTCCCATTCAGAATTCTGGCATCGGTATTTCTATAAAGTCCATCAGCTAGAGCAGGTATGCTGGTCTAGCCTGGGGAGGTCCCCACTCAACCCTGGGGGAAGCAGGCTGGATTTATTGAGAGAAGAAAGGGATACAGGGTGCCAAGAGTTGTGGGATCAGGACCAGGATCTGGGAAGAGGGTGCCCTGACTTCCTGTGTCCATCTGCTCCCCCACATTCAGGAGCAGGCCCGGAGGGACGCCCTGAAGCAGCGGGCGGAACAGAGCATCTCTGAAGAGCCTGGCTGGGAGGAGGAGGAAGGTAAGAGGCGTTGAGAGGTGAAGGGCAAGTGACACATCTGTGTAGGACACTCTGGGCTGGGCCATGCTTTCTGAAGCCTGGAGAGACTTGGCGCCCATCAGGGAAGAGTAGGGAACGAGCACATTGTATGTGCTGAGGATAGGCAGAGCTAACAAGGAGATATTGAACAAGGCTAGTGGAATTCCAATTTAGCTACAGAAATCCCATGTGTCAGTTGGTGTAGATTCCCCTGCCAGCCCATGAACCAGCTGCCGCCTAGTCACTGGGGAGCTTCTTGAAAATCCAGATTCCCTTCCCCACCTTCTAAAGAAGACTGTAAAGAAGCGGCCAGACATGTATTTTAAACAAGCTCCCTGGTAATATTAATGCACAGGCTGGTTTGGGAACCACTGAGTTAGGGAGGGAGCTGAGCATCCTCTACCTGTAGCTTAGTTTATAACAGCACGTTGGAGCCTTCTGGATGATCTAATATTAATGCATTTCTTAAGTGTTTACACCATATGTCGAGGCTGCACTAAGAGCTTTACACAGAGTCCTTACCACCACCCTATTACCCCTCTTTTTTTTTTTTTTTTTTTTTTTTTGAGACGGAGTCTCACTCTGCCGCCCAGGCTGGAGTGCAGTGGCCGGATCTCAGCTCACTGCAAGCTCCGCCTCCCGGGTTCACGCCATTCTCCTGCCTCCGCCTCCCGAGTAGCTGGGACTACAGGCGCCCGCCACCTCGCCCGGCTAGTTTTTTGTATTTTTTAGTAGAGACGGGGTTTCACCATGTTAACCAGGATGGTCTCGATCTCCTGACCTCGTGATCCGCCCGTCTCGGCCTCCCAAAGTGCTGGGATTACAGGCTTGAGCCACCGCGCCCGGCCCCTATTACCCCTCTTAAGGATAAAAGTAAGTTAAGAGTAAAAGTTAGGTGGCTTGCCTAATCATATACCTAGGATGTAGCAGAGCCCAACCTGAACCCAAAACTGACTCACTTCTGAGCCTTGGCTTTCTAATCCATAACAGCCCCTGGAACTGCATTGCTGGAAGGAAGCGCACCAGGCATTAGGCCCCAGGGCTGAGCAGGACTTTTGACTAGCAGGGAGTGTTTGCAGAAGCATTGTGATGGCAAAGGGGAGAGCTAAATGACACTATTGAGTCTTTTTTTTTTTTTTTCGTTTTGAGACAGAGTCTCGCTCTGTCGTCCAGACTGGAGTGCAGTGGTGCAATCTAGGCCCATTGCAACCACCGCCTCCTGGGTTTAAGCGATTCTCTTGCCTCAGCCTCCCGAGTAGCTGGGATTACAGGCATGTGCCACCACACTCAGCTAATATTTTTGTATTTTTAGTAGAGACAGGGTTTCACTATGTTGGCCAGGCTGGTCTCAAAAACTCCTGACCTCAGGTGATCCACCCGCCTCGTTCTTCCACAGTGCTGGGATTATAGGCGTGAGCCACCATGCCCGGCTTGAGTCTTGATCAGAGTAAACTTTGGCAGGAACCAGAGAGCTCCAAGGTTGTCTTTTTTTTTTTTTTTTTGAGACGGAGTCTCGCTCTATGGCCCAGGCTGGAGTGCAGTGGCACGATCTTGGCTCACTGCAAGCTCCACCTCCTGGGTTCACGCCATTCTCCTGCCTCAGCCTCCTGAGTAGCTGGGACTACAGGCGCCCGCCACCGTGCCCGGCTAATTTTTTTTTGTATTTTTAGTAGAGACGGGGTTTCACCGTGCTCTCGATCTCCTGACCTTGTGATCCGCCCACCTCGGCCTCTGAAAGTGCTGGGATTACAGGCGTGAGCCACCGCGCCCGGCCCCAAGGTTGTCTTAGGGCTGGCCAGGGTACATTTCCCTCTTGCCCCTCCCTTTCTCTCTCTACAGAGGAGCTCATGGGCATTTCACCCGCATCTCCAAAAGAGGCAAAGGTTCCTGTGACCAAAACTTCTACATTCCCTGAAGGAGAACCTGGCCCCCAGAGCCCCTGTGAAGAGAATCTGGTGACCTCAGTTGAGCCCCCAGCAGAGGTGACTCCATCAGAGAGCAGCGAGAGCGTCTCCCTCGTGACACAGATTGCCAACCCGGCCGCTGCACCTGAGGCACCAGTGCTACCCAAGGACCTGTCCCAAAAGCTGCTAGAGGCATCTTTGGAGGAACAGGGCCTGGCTGTGGATGTGGGCGAGACTGGACCCCCGCCCCCTATTCACTCCAAGCCCCTAACCCCTACTGGCCACCCCAGCGGCCCAGAACCCAGGCCTCCAGCCAGAGTAGAGACTCTGAGGGAGGAGGCTCCCACAGACTTACGGGTGTTTGAGCTGAACTCGGACAGTGGGAAGTCTACACCCTCCAACAATGGAAAGAAAGGTAGGTCTGGGCTGGGAGTGGTGGCTCATGCCTGTAATCCCAGCACTTTGGGAGGCCGAGGTGGGCGAATCACCTGAGGTTGGGAGTTTGAGACCAGCCTAACTGACATGGAGAAACCCTGTCTCTAAGTACAAAATTAGCTAGGCATGGTGGCACATGCCTGTAATCCCAGCTACTGGGGAGTCTGGGTCAGGAGAATCACTTGAAGCCAGGAGGCAGAGGTTGCAGTGAGCCGAGATCGCGCCATTGCACTCCAGCCTGGGCAAGAAGAGCGAAACTCCATCTCAAAAAATAAAATTTAAAAAAAAAAAAAAAAAGTTAGGTCTGGAAGTCTAAGCCCATTGTTGTGTGGGGTCAGGGCCACCTCCCAAGGCAGATTTGTCTCCTTGTCCCTTTTTAGGATACTATGAGCAGATTTTTTTCATTTCCAATAATGATGACAGCTGCCATATATTGACTATTTGCTAACATGTTTCATTCTAAGTTGCACATTAATCTCTGAAATAAGAATGCATCTTACAATTGTTGGCATCTTAAGAGTCAACAAAACAAGTTTGATGCTAGATCCCATGCTAAATATGTTATATGGCACTTAATTTCTCAGTATTACTGTCCTCATTTTATAGATGAAAAAAGTGAGGCCCAAAAATATTAGGTAACGCCCAAGTTCACATGGCCAGGAGGCCCAGACTGTCTGACTCCAAGCCCATGCCATTAACTAGCACACTGTGCCAATTTCTGTCTTTTTGGACAATTTAACCTTACCCTGGCTTGGAAATCCCAGTGACATTGATGTTAAAGGGTCTTCGTCCTGTGTAGCCTTAGGAAAGTCATTCAGCTTCCCCAGGTCTTTATTATTATGAAATATATAAACAAAACTCATACGTGCAGTTTAAAGAAGAATAAAATGAACATCCATGAACTTACAGTGACCCAGCTTGAGTAATGGAGCTTTTAGTTTCTTATCTGTATAATGGAATTTTTTTTTTTTTTTTTTTTGAGACGGAGTCTCGCTCTGTCGCCCAGGCTGGAGTGCAGTGGCCGGATCTCAGCTCACTGCAAGCTCCGCCTCCCGGGTTTACGCCATTCTCCCGCCTCAGCCTCCCGAGTAGCTGGGACTCCAGGCGCCCGCCACCTCGCCTGGCTAGTTTTTTGTATTTTTTTAGTAGAGACGGGGTTTCATCGTGTTAGCCAGGATGGTCTCGATCTCCTGACCTCGTGATCCGCCCGTCTCGGCCTCCCAAAGTGCTGGGATTACAGGCTTGAGCCACCGCGCCCGGCCAATAATGGAATTTTAGACTGGAGACTCTGAGTTTATGTCAAAGAGCAACCTCTGTAACTGCAGGAATTAAAGGACAAGGATAGCCTTGGTGTCAGCCTTTTTACCACATCCAAAATACCACTTAAGGTATGGCTGATTATCACTAAGAACCACCGCCCTCCCAGTCCCCCCACCACCTGCACACTTCACACACGCATCCTCCTGTCTTTGCTAACACTCAGCACAGCCACAAAGCTTGCCCAGCAGGTAAGTCCTGGCCTGCTGGCCCAGGAAGGGACTGGTTTGCCACAATGGATGGGAAATGAACCCCACCTCACCTCTAACCTATTCCCTGATGGAAACCATGGAGTTTCCAGTCTCCAACCCAGTGCCTCCCTTCTGACTGATCAGTGAGGTCATCCATTGGGCTCCTACCTGGTTTTGTTTTTTTTTTTTTTTTGAGGCGGAGTCTCACTCGTGTTGCCCAGGCTGGAGTGCAGTGGCACAGTCTCGCTCACTGCAACCTCCGCCTACCATGTTCACTCCATTCTCCTGCCTCAGCCTCCCGAGTAGCTGGGACTACAGGCACATGCTGCCACACCCAGCTAATTTTTTGTATTTTTAGTAGATACAGGGTTTCATTGTGTTAGCCAGGATGGTCTTGATCTCCTGACCTTGTGATCTGCCCGCCTTGGCCTCCCAAAGTGCTGGGATTACAGGCGTGAACCACAGCGCCCGGCCCAAGCTCCTGCCTGTTATTTATGAGACGCTGAGTGGGAGGGGGCAGAAGCCGCAGCCTTTGTGAGGGAGCATAAAGCAGGATGGGCCAGTCTGGTACTGGAGGAGTTCAGAGAAAGAAGGAATCTCTGGACATCTGCGGTGCTTCGCCAAGGAGACAAGCCTTGTATAGGAGAGTTGACGAGTTTGGGGCAGGTGCAGGGGAGTGGTAGTCTAAGCTGAGGGGGCCTACAAGGACCAGCTAGCAAAGGGCATGGGGCATGTTTAAGGGGTGGTGACCCAAACCCACTCTTCTGTATTCTCTCCCAGGAGAAGGAGGTACAAGAAGGGTGAGTGGGTTGACTCAGAAATAGAACTTCGGAATTTAAAACCTTAAGCTGGATTCAGAAGGTCGGCCTTGGGGCCATAAAGCAGCAGAGCATGGATTCTAAGGGTGTGGGTTCTGGAGTTCAGACAGTTCTGGGTTCAAATCCCAACTTTGTTCATAAGCCATGTAACTTCAGAAAGATTACTAATCTTCTGTAAGCCTTTGTTTGCTCCTCTACAGACAGGATAATTGTTTCATGATAGATCCTCAATCAGAGCAGAAATTTAAGTAGAACCCTGCTTTGGGGAAATGGTAATAGAGGTAACATTCTCTGAGCACTTTCTGTGTGTCTAGCTCTGTGCTAAGCACTTGATATGCATGTTACTCAATCCTTACAAAAGCCCTGTGAGGGCCGGGCGCGGTGGCTCAAGCCTTTAATCCCAGCACTTTGGGAGGCCGAGACGGGCGGATCACGAGGTCAGGAGATCGAGACCATCTTGGCTAACACGGTGAAACCCCATCTCTACTAAAAAATGCAAAAAACTAGCCAGGCGAGGTGGCGGGTGCCTGTAGTCCCAGCTACTCAGGAGGCTGAGGCAGGAGAATGGTGTAAACCTGGGAGGCGGAGCTTGCAGTGAGCTGAGATCCGGCCACTGCACTCCAGCCTGGGCAACAGAGCGAGACTCCATCTCAAAAAAAAAAAAGAAAAAAGCCCTGTGAGATCTGTGTACTTTTTCCTATTTTTCTAGTGGTAGGAACCTGAGATCAGTCACACCCAATAAATATTTCAGAGAGTATGAAATAGTCCTGTAGGAGAGGGAAGAGTAGGTGATGGGCCTGACAGGTATAATAGGGTTGCTGGGTGGATGGTCCCAGGGCCCTTGTGATTGTAGATTTTAAGTGAGACCATCAACCTGTTGTATTTTTGTTCAGTCACATTCAGTTGCTTAGGTGCAGGAACAGAGCAGATGGGGAGTTGGATCTAATTAGGTTCAAGTTTAGCCAGGTAAAATCAGTGGATGAAAAGAAGAAAGTCCGCTGGGCCTGGTGGCTCATGCCTATAATTGCAGTACTTAAGGGAGGCTGAGGCAGATGGATTGCTTGAGCCCAGGAGTTCAAGACCAGCCCTGGCATTGTGGTGAAACCCCATCTCTACAGAAAATACAAAAAGTTAGCCAGATGTGGTGGCACATGCCTGTAGTCGCAGCTACTCGGGAGGCTGAGGTGGGAGAATCACCTGAGTGGGGAGGTTGAGGCTGCAGTGAGTTGAGATTGCTAAACTGCCCTCCAGCCTGGGTGACAGAGCTGAGACCCTGTCTCAAAAAAATAAAAAGGAAAGAAAAGAAAGTATATGCAAGAAGTGATAAGAATGATGGCTTATAGAATATGAGCTGAGTAAGGGAGAGAATGAGGGATAGTGAAACAGTTGGAGGGTTACAAATTATAGGTTTCATTTGGAATTGGGCTACAAAGGGTAATCAGAAAAAATTAGTAGTGGTTGGAGACTGGATGGAATTGAAATTATAGGAGAGGTAAACATAAGCTCTTAACGACTCTGCTATGCTGCCTCTACTGCCCTCGGGGCCTGTGAAAGGAGAGGCTGAGGATGTGCTACAGAAGACCCACCAGAAACAACTGTAGTCAGGTGGGAGGAAGGCAGAGTCTTGGACCAGGCTGGAACAGTGGGAACAGAGTAGAGGAAATAAATCTTAAAAGGAAGAAACGGGGCTTGGAGACAAAGTAACTCCTTTTTCCTCTTGGGCCCATGTCCTAGGGTGATATAAGGCTTGGTCTCTGGGTTCAGCAGAGTCTCTTAGGGTGCCCTAGCCAAAGGGTTTTACTGGGTCCCAGGGTGATTCCTGTCATTGCAGAGCTGCTTCCCACCTACATTTTGTCACAGGATTCGTCTGTTCTGAGCGACTGGACTTCTTTCTGCACAGGAAGGGACGAGAGATTGGGGCAGGCCTGTGGCCTGGAAGGAGCCTAGAGGTTAAGACCTCACTTCATGACTGACTGTGTAACCTAAGAGCAGTATTGCCTCTTGTTTCTTAACTGGGGAAGCAGAGGGCCAATTAAACAGAATAAAATGAGCTGTGAGTGACAGCACTACAAAGTTAGCAATCACCTGAAAACTTCCATTTTCAAAACCAAACCAGTAGAACTCCATCCTGAAGTCTTCAATTGTAGCACAGGTCAGCTCTCTGCCACGTGCACATTGTGATGGAGGTCTTAGTGCTCTCCTTATGTGACAGGACAGGACGGTGGAAGGAGGCAGATGGCAGAGAGAGCCCAGCTTCACATCTCCCTGTGCCACCAGAAGCCTTCGTTTCCTTATCTGTATACGGGGACTGTTAATACCCACCCAAGAGGTAGATGTGGAATATTCCAGAAATGTTAGTGGATACTCTGTTCTTTACCCCTGAAAGGGTCTGCTGTAGCATTTAAGCCTGAAGAGATGGTTTCAAGTCCCTAGAGGGCAGCCTGAGGTTAGGGAAAGCTGTCATGGCCACAGACAAAGCCCTGAAGTGAGGAAGCAACCAAGAGTCTGGCTAACCCACAGGAAGCCTGTGGTGACAGCCAGATGAGTGTCACCTAAGTGTCCTGAAGGCACAGAGAGATATAGGTGCAGAGTCAGAAGAACTGGGTCTTGGCTGCCCTGACTTGCTGAGGTACCTTGTACAGAATGACTTAACTCTGAGACAAGGCCCTTAGAAGAGAGGCAGCACCATTCATTACATAGCCATGTGTATATACGTAATAGGCACTTTATATTCATACCTCTAATTCTAACACCATTGTTTCTCAAACTGCAGGCCCAGGTCTACACAGAATCACACAGGTACCTGCTTACAACTTACAATGCAGCCTTCCCAGCCACCAGCTAGACCTGCTGAGTCTTTGTTGGGATCGGGGGTGGACAGGGTAGGAGCCTGCATTCTAATAAGCTTCTCCAGTGGTTCTTTGCAGAGGGTGCTTTTATCCATATTTTATAAATAGACTGAAGCCCACAATAATTCTCCCAAGACTACACAGTGAAGGAGTAGGTATTCAACCCAGGTCTGCCTTGCCCTGGAGACCATGCTCTGACTGGAAGAGAGGATGATACAGGAAACCATATAAGGAATGTGGGAGCGGGGCTGAGGGGTAGGTCTCAGCACCGAGGCATCTGGTGAGGAGTAGTCAGAGAAGAAGAAATGAAGATGTTTACTCGTCATGCCATTGGAGGATGAGGGACCCACTCTTTTTAAAGGTACTTAAAAAAAAGATTACAGGCCGGGCATCGTGGCTTACGCCTGTAATCCCAGCACTTTGGGAAGCCAAGGTGGGCAGATCACGAGGTCAGGAGATAAGACCATCCTGGCTAACACAGTGAAATGCCGTCTCTACTAAAAGTACAAAAAATTAGCCAGGCGTGGTGGCGGGCGCCTGTAGTCCCAGCTACTCGGGAGGCTGAGGCAGGAGAATGGCGGGAACCCGGGAGGCAGAGCTTGCAGTGAGCTGAGATCGTGCCACTGTACTCCAGCCTGGGCGACAGAGCAAGACTCCGTCTCAAAAAGAAAATAAAAAAGATTACAAAGTAATATGTGTTCATTTTTGGAAAAAAATTAGAAAAATCACCCCATGACCTCATCACCTAGAGATAACTTTGCTAGTGTATTTGGATATCTTGCTCCTCTCTTCTGCATGTGTACATGCATCTGTGGGTACTTTTTTTTTTTTTTTTTTTTTTGAGACGGAGTCTCACTGTGTCACCCAGGCTGGAGTGCAGTGGCCAGATCTCAGCTCACTGCAAGCTCTGCCTCCCGAGTTTATGCCATTCTCCTGCCTCAGCCTCCCGAATAGCTGGGACTACAGGCGCCTGCCACCTCGCCTGGCTAGTTTTTTGTATTTTTTAGTAGAGACAGGGTTTCACCGAGTTAGCCAGGATGGTCTCTATCTCCTGACCTTGTGATCCACCTGTCTCGGCCTCCCAAAGTGCTGGGATTACAGGTTTGAGCCACCACGCCTGGCCTGTGGGCACATTTTAAAGCTGGAATCATACTGTACATGCTTTATTGAAAGGAACTATTTGTGTAGTTTGCTTCTTAATAACTTTTATATATATACTTTTAATATTGCCTATAAGAAGTCATAGCCAAATATGAATGTTTAGAGCAATGATCGTCAAATAGTACAGACAGGCATCAGAATCACATAGCGCAGGGGGTGGTAAACTTTTTCTGTATAGGACCAGACCATAAATATTTTAGGCTTTTTGGGCCATGCAGTTGAAATTACTGATCTCCGCTCTTGTAGCATGAAAGCAGCCATAGATAGTATGTAAACAAATGATGTTACATGGCTGGATTTGATCCATGGGCCATAGTTTGCCAACCCCTGGTTTACAGAAAGGGTCTGTGACTATTGAGTGCCAACTATGTGTTCTAAGAACTTGAAATACATAAGAGAACAAAACAAAAGATCCCTGCCCTCACAGGGCTCATATTCTAACTCCTCTATTAATAGACAATAAACATATTAAGTCTGATTATGTAATATGTTAGAAGTGATCACTACAATGGAAAAAAGATCAATCCAAAGCCAGGCGTGGTGGCTCTCGTCTATAATCCCAGTACTTTGGGAGGTTGAAGTGGGCTGATCAGCTAAGGTCAGGAGTTTGAGACCAGCCTGGCAAACATGGTAAAACCCTGTTTCTACTAAAAATACAAAAGTTAGCCAGATATGATGGTGTGCACCTGTAATCTCAGCTACTCAGGAGGCTGAGGCAGGAGAATCACTTGAACCTGCGAGGCGGAGTTTGCAGTGAGCCAGGATCGCACCACTGCACTCTAGCCTAGGCGACAGAGTGAGACTATTTCAAAAATAAATAAATACAAAAATTAGCTGGACGTGGTAGCAGGTGCCTTTGTAGTCCCAGCTACTCAGGAGGCTGAGGCAAGAGAATCTCTTGAACCCAGGAGGCAGAGGTTGCAGTGAGCTGAGATTGTGCCACTACACTCCAGCCTGGATGACAGAGGGAGACTCTGTCTCAAAAAACAACAACAACAACAACAACTAGAACAGAGTGAGGGTGGTGATCGGTTGCTCTTTAAACTAGGATGGTCAGTGTAGACCACATCTAGAAGGTGAGATTTGAGCAATGGCGTGAAGGAGGTGACAAGTTGGTCTTGTGGGTATCTGAGGAGACGAGTTCCAGGTGCAGGGAACAGCCCATGCAAAAACCCTAAGTTGGGAATGCGCCTGGTATGTTTCTGGAGGAACAGGGTTAGTATGGGCAGAATGGAGTGAAGAGGAAGAGGTTCACTGTTTTGGGTTTGAGGGGAGGTTTTTGTTTTGTTTAGAGACAGGGTTTTGCACTGTCACCAGTGGCATGATCATAGCTCACTGCAGCCTTGAACTGGGCTCAAGTGATCATCACACCTCAGCCTCCTGAGTAGCTGGGACTCCTCAGGTGTGCACTACCATGCCTGGCTAATTTTTAAATTTTTTTCTAGAGACAAGGTCTCAGTTCACTGTTTATTTCCTCTGGAAGATTTCTGTGACTCTCTTGGAGCCTCTGAGCCACAGTGCTTCTCCACTCTTTAGTAGCCTGCTTTTTCTGAGGTAATAGTTTAAGGCTGTTTGGCATGGATGTGAAGTTCTTCTCCAGCCTAACCTCTGACAGCCTACAGTGTTCCATCATGTAACTCACTATTTACTTGTCTAATTCCCTGTCAGTGGACTTTCAGATTGTTTCTAGGTTTCCATCACTATGACAGCACTGCAGTGAACACTCTTTGCTAAATTCCTGACTGAATCCAGGATTTTTCCTTAGAATAGATTCTTAAAAGTGGGGACGAGGCGCCGTGGCTCACGCCTGTTATTGCAGCACTTTGGGAGGCCGAGGCGGGCAGATCATTGAGGTCAGGAGTTTGAAACCAGCCTGGCCAACATGGTGAAACCCTGTCTCTACTAAAAATACAAAAATTAGCTGGGCATGGGGTCATGCTCCTGTAGTGCCAGCTACTTAGGAGGCTGAGGCAGGAGAATCACTTGAACCTGGGAAGCGGAGGTTGCAGTGGGCCAAGATCGCACCACTGCACTCCAGCCTGGGCGACAGAGCGAGACTCCATCTAAGAAAACAAAACAAAACAAAAAAGTGGGATTGCTGTGCCAGAGTGAACACAGAATGTAAAGACTTGTGTATTTGTGAGACCCTTTTAAAGCGTGCCATCTCCCCAGCTACACCCTCTTCAAGTGCCCCTTCCCTGCCTCCTCCTGCTTTTCACACTGTGGCTCGTGGTTCCAGGCTCAAGCACGGACATCAGTGAGGACTGGGAGAAAGACTTTGACTTGGACATGACCGAAGAGGAAGTGCAGATGGCACTTTCCAAAGTGGATGCCTCCGGGGAGGTGAGTGGGCCTGGTGGGTCAGAGGGACGCGAGCCTAATGGTCCTGGGTGTGAGAACTCTCCCCAGCCAGCCCAGCTGTCCCCTCAGGAGGGTCACTGCTCCTGTCTGAGGTGACAGGTTGTGGGAAAGGAGCTGGAGCTTCCTGCTCAGACCCACAACAGTGGTCATCGGTAGGCTCCACTTCCCCTCAGTTCCAGGGTAGATAGAGGGGAGAGTTCTTGACCTTAGCTCTGTATCAAAATTGCCTGAGAAACTGCTTAAGAAAAACAGATGCCGTGCTGGGCGCGGTGGCTCACACCTGTAATCCCAACACTTTGGGAGGCCAAGGTGGGAGGATTGCTTGAGGCCAGGAGTTCAAGACCAGCCTGGCCAATATAGTGAGACCCCATTTCTATTTTTGAAAAAAAGAGACATCAAACCCTGCCTGACCTTCTGAGTTGTGGTCCCCAGATATGAGGCCTGAGTATATACTTGACCTTGGAGACAAAAGACCAGTGTGATCAAGGGCAAGTTACTTAACCTAAGCCCCTGGTTCCTCATCTAAAACATGGAATTGATTATTATAAGACCTGGCTTATAAGCTGTAATGAGGTGATCCATGTGGACACTTTAGGGCTAGTGCCTGAGACATGGTGGCACTCAGGAGACATTAGTGATAAACCCCACAAAACCCATTCCAGTTATTCAGCTCAAAGAGGCCTTAGTACTGTTATTCTTCACTACCTCCCAGAATCAAAAGTGGCTCATTTAGATTCAGAGGCTGGAACAGTCCAAAGCTCTCCCAGCTAATTAATGACAGGACTGAGGCTGCAGCCCAGATATCTGATTCATGTCAGCATTATTTCCACTGTCACATAAGAACCACATGAGTCCTTCCATCGTGTAACTCATGAGCCTGTTAGAAAGGGGTGGACAGATTAGAGAGACCTGTGAAGGGCCTCCTTTTTCATGACGGGAAACTGAAGCCTTGGGGGAGTATTTTATCTACAGGAATATTTTGCACTTGTGACTACCTAACTATACTCAGGACAGAGAAGGCCTATAGTGCCCTGTCAGGCCACAGGGGGTTGCTGGGTTTTTGTGTCTTTGCAGCCCCCTTTAAAACCTGATGTGCAATACACCTGAGCATTCTAGAACCTCTTTTTTTTTTTTTTTTTTTTTTTGAGACGGGGTCTCGCGCTCTCGCCCAGGCTGGAGTGCAGTGGCCGGATCTCAGCTCACTGCAAGCTCCGCCTCCCGGGTTTACGCCATTCTCCCGCCTCAGCCTCCCGAGTAGCTGGGACTACAGGCGCCCGCCACCTCGCCTGGCTAGTTTTTTGTATTTTTTTAGTAGAGACGGGGTTTCATCGTGTTAGCCAGGATGGTCTCGATCTCCTGACCTCGTGATCCGCCCATCTCGGCCTCCCAAAGTGCTGGGATTACAGGCTTGAGCCACCGCGCCCGGCCTCTAGAACCTCTTATACCAGGGCTTAGCCGACAGCAGGCCAAGAGTAGGAACAAAGCAAGAAAAGGTTCTGTGGGGAGACTTGAGCTGGGAATTAGGGTGTTGGTGCCCCTAGTGAAGACCTAGTGGGCACCTGTAGGCCACTGCCACCTCTGTTTTTAACCATAGTGCCACTCGGGGAGTGGCCCCCATTCACCCAAAGGCTAAGTAACTTGCCCTTGATTACCCTGGTCTTTTGTGTCCAAGGCCAACTATTTGCTCAGGCCTCCTAAGTTATCTGTATCTCAGAGCCATGGCATTATCTGCTCAGCAGGAGGCAAGTTCTCCTTAAAGGACTGGGGCTGACTTGGTTCCTGTAGGCAGCCATCACCTTGTGGTGTCTGGTGTTGGTTGGCGGAAGCGTTTCCTTTAGGTCTGAAATAATCAGAGCAGCAGGCCCACCCCTCAAGCAGAGGGCAGCTCTGCCCCTTAGACACATTCCTTAAGACTAGGGGTTCACTCTCAGTAGGGGGCAGAGTATGGCCTAGGGTAGGGGATGGGAGGTGGCTCTGCTCAGCAAGGGGAGGTTAGGTCTGGGCCTGACTCAGGAGTAACTGTGTTTGTGATCTCTATTACCCCGTCCCATTTGCAGCTGGAAGATGTAGAGTGGGAGGACTGGGAGTAAGGGAGCCAGAGGGAGCAGCTCCCCACCCATGGCATCTCTCGCCTCCCTCATTCGTCTCAGCCCAGCCCTGGAAGACTCTGACTGAGAATGTCCCCCCAAATCTCCTTTGCCAACCAGAGCTCTGGGCACAGATTCTGGTGGCTCCCTGCTGACCCTCTGGGCCTCTGCTCATGCCTGGAAAGGGGCTCTCTAAATCCCGGCCAGGAACTCTGACTTGTGCCAACAATAGAATGACCCAAGGGAGAGGAAACCAGAAGAGCCTGTGTTTTTCTGCTGAACACCCACTGTTCCTGAGGACTCCTGCTGGGAAGTCCCAAGGGATAGTTCTAGCCCTTCTGCCTGTGTAGACAGAAGCTAAACCACCAGTCTCTCGGAGGAAGCCGAGACAACACACACTGTCCACCATAAGCAGGCAGGGAGGGCCATGCCACCTACCCTTGGCTAAACAGGGACAGCAAACACATTTTGGTTCCTATCCCAGTGGGTAAGATGCACTTACCTCTGGGAAATTTGCCTCTCCTCTCTTGGGAATCTCCCCTTCCCAGGCATTTTCCATTCCTGGAAAGGCTCCTTTGGGGTTCAGAATCCAGAGACCAAACCCTGACCCACCTCCTTCCTTTCCTCCAGCCCACGCTGGTCTGTCCCTATGCCTTCCCAGGGCTTCTTCATGTCAGATGCACCCAAGTCCTTAGCCCAGCTGTGCCACCTGCAGGAGTTCGCTCTTGCATTTCTTCCCCTCCCCAAGAAGGGAGGGGGCCACTTGAGGCCCTTCTGTGTGTTGCCTGGCAGGATACCTTGTCCAACCAGCTACCCACCTCAACTCCCCTGTAGCTTAGGACACAAAACAGCTACCAGCGGTACAGAGCGGTGATCACAGCCGAGTACTTACAACTCTGGTAAGCCTAGCTTCTCCGCCTCAGCCCTTCTGCTTCTGGAAGGGCTATCCTGGGGGTGAACTTGAAACTCTCATCAGGCTTCTGCAAAAGCTCTTCTTCCTGAAGACAGACCCAGCCTTTGCGCTCTCACCCTCCAGTCTGGTAAAGCTGTACCTCTGGGGGAATGAGGGGCTGCAGGAATCTCTGGAGAGCCTGGTGCTTCACGATGCTGCTCTGGTGATTCTTGTACCTAATCTGGTGTGCTCACCAGCGAGTGAAAGGGATCGTGGTCAGGGACACCGAGAGAGTGGGGTCACTTCTTCTTCAAACCTTCAGTGAGGGGGTGGGTTGGAGAGAATGCTGAATCTTTTTTTTGACGGGATGGGGTTTTTCTCTTTGTAATTATTTCTTTAGTTTAATTAACTTTTTGGTTGTTTGTGCAATATTATATATTTTAAATTATAATGCATCTCCCCAGAGTATTTTGTAGCTGGGAAAAGAAAAAAGGAAAAAAAAAAAGAAAAAAGATTCTAACAGCTGTTAGTTTTATAATTAAAAAAGAAAGAAAAAAGAACTTTGTCCTGAACCTTTTACAGACTTGCCGTTAACAGCATTAAAGTGATTCAACCGAAGCTGGAAGGTGTCTGGGGTCTGTTTTCATCCCCTTGGCAGCTGCACTGGGCCAGGGCAGGACTGGCTTCCCACTTGGAGCCAGAAACAGGGTAGAGGGATAGCCTGGGTCCAGAGGACATCGCTTGTCCTCATCCCAGATTCAGCTTTGCCTTTGGGATGAGAAAGGGACGGGGCTCCCAACAGGCCTCTCACTGGGACAAGGAGTCAGGAGGCCATCTCTGCACTCCCAACACCTCTGCTTTTCTTTGGAAAGGAAGTTGCAACAACAATGGCTTCAGTTGTTCTTGGTCATTTTTCTCCTCTCCTCCCTCTGTTTGTATATGATTCTGGGGTCTATTTTAATTAACTTTAGTATGAAAATCACTTGTCAGACCAGGCACAGGTGGCTCACGCCTGTAATCCCAGCACTTTGGGAGGCTGAGGCAGGCCTCCACTTAAGGTCAGGAGTTCGAGACCAGCCTGGCCAACATGACGAAACCCCATCTCTGCTAAAAATACAGAAATAGCCAGGTGTGGTGGTAGGTGCCTGTAATCCCAGCTACTGGGGAGGCTGAGGCAGGAGAATCGCTTGAACCTGAGAAGCAGAGTTGCAGTGAGGTGGAATCGTGCCACTGCACTCCAGCCTGGGCAACAGAGCAAGAAAAAAAAAAAAAAAAAAAAGCAAGTCTGAATGAGGCCCTTTGATTCCATGAAGATCTCTAAAAGGAAAGAGTGGTAGTAAGGCTCAGGTAGATGTAAGTTTTAGGATAAGTAAACTTAAGGCGTAAAATATATATCACCATTTTAGAAGCGGATTTTTGGGTTTGCTTTCTCCCCCTACTTTATTGGGGAGCACTTGCCATTGCTTTTATCAAGTGCTTGCTAGCCATGGATGCCAACTAACTTCTTCAATTGAAGGCCGGAGGATCATGTCGGGTTCCAGGAGCCTCTTGAGCAGGTCCTGGCAATCAGCCGAGATGCTCAGATGAGTGGGGAAGGACACCCCCTTCTGCTGCTGCCACAGCATCTTGGGGATGTCTGTGTCGTCAAAAGGTAGGCTGGCACAGAGCATGACATACAGGACCACACCCATGCTCCAGACGTCACCTTTCTTGCTATCATGGGGAATGCCCTGCAGCACCTCAGGGGCGGCATAGGCTGTGCTGCCGCAGAAGGTCTGGCTCAGCTCCCGGCGCGACTTGGGCAACACCTTGGCAAAGCCAAAGTCAGTCAGCTTCAGGTTGAAGCCCTGCAACAAGGCGTTCTCACATTTGAGGTCCCGGTGGGCCACACCACAGCCATGGCAGTAGTGGATGGCCTCAACCATCTGACGGAAGAGGGCCTTGGCCCGGCTCTCAGGCAATGGCCCCCCATTCAGCACGCAGTCAAAGACATCCCCTCCCTCAGCCAGCTCCATCACCAGGCAGATTTTCCCGTCGGCAGACTCCAGCATCTCATACACCTGGATGATGTTCTTGTGTTCCAGGGTACGGACAATTTGGAGCTCCCGAGGCAGGAATCTCTGGATAAACTCTGAGGAAGTAAGGGGAGGAGAGATGGGCTGGCAGATCAGAAAGGCCCACCTCCTCACACCTGTCTCCTGCCTTCCAACTTCTGCCCACCTTGTTTGGGTCTTATTTCTTGGCTCCCTTAATGGTCTTAAATGTGTCTAGCTGCTTGGACATTGCAAAGAATGTTCACTTCTATTATTTTTGTCATTAGTGTATCATTCAAAAAAGAACCACTCCCACCAGCCTCGCGGACTGTTGAGCAGTCTGTGAGACTGGATATCAAGGTGCTTTAGGTGCTTTTAGACAAAGCCACAGAATCACAAATTATCAGGCCTGATTTGTCCACAGGCTGGTGAGCCAGCTCCTCCTGCCGCTGTCCCCTGACCCCATAGTTCTTTCCATGAGCCCTGTCTTCCTTTTTCCCATCTCCATGGGCCTTGGCACCAGCCCCTGTTCTCTACTAGCCCTGGCTGTGGCCTCTGCCAGTCTCTGTTCCCCTGCCAGAAAGGAAAGCCTGGCTCAGGTTTTGCCTCTGAGGATCCTTCACCTCATGCCACTTTAATCTTGCATTTTGGGGGGTGTAATGTTCCTGGACTCCCAGAATCCCTCTGTTACCCACTGACCCACTCCAGAGCTGCCATCCGGCTTGCTTGGGTCCAGGTCAGCAGGCGCAGGGAGTGATGGAATGATCTTTTCAACAGGAGGAAGCACCCACCGCCTTCAGCCAGCCCTCCTTCCCTCCAAAGGGGCCCCAGCTCACCTTCTGGCCCTCCCATCTTGTCTATAACTTTAATTGCCACTTTTCTTTGGTGTTTTTTGGAAAATGCTTCTTTGACTTTTGAGTAGGTCCCTTCCCCAATGGTCTTGCCCAGCTGGTACCCATTGGAGAGCAGAAAGTCCTCCATCCTGTCTAGCGCCTCCTTCTATCACCCTCTCAGCTCATGCTGCCTCTGCGAGGCAGCTCTACTCCACCATCGCCTTTGGCCTGCTCCTTTTCTCCCCAAGGACTTCATCCGCAGCCGTCCCCAGCGTTAGAACATTGTCTGGACACAGCCGCGGGTGGTGGGGAGGGAGAGGGCCAGACATTTTTAAACTCCGGCGCAATTGTGATGTAAATGCTGTGTGACCCCTGGCCAAAATGGGCAGTGCCCCTACCTGCCCTCACTACCACCACCAAACCCAGCCCGGATTAAGTCACCGCCGAGCCCGCCCCCGCGCCAGGCACTGAGTCGTAGCCCAGTCTGGGAGGGCGCTCCTCGGCGTCTGTGTGGGCCGGGAAGGCTCGGCTCCTTGGCGTGGACGCCGCCTCGCGGCGGGTTGCCCTGGCCTGCTGCGCCCCCATCGGGTGGCTGGGGTCTGCGCTACCCCGTCTCCAGGCGCCATGGCCAGATCCCTCCAGTCCCCGGTTCCGGCCCGCGCTGAGTGCCAGGGGCGGCCGGGGGCGCCGTTGGGGGTTCTCCAGTGGGAGGAACGGGTTCTGTGAGGTCAGCGCGCCCCGGCCCGGGTCACAATGCTGCCCTCCTCGACGCCCGGGTCCGGGCCCGCCGCAGAGACCTGCCCGGCTCCGCCTGGACCGGAGCGTTCTCCCGCGGCCAGGGCTCGGGCAGCTGCTTCCAGCCTGGGACCGGTCTCAGCCTCCGGGAGGTGAGCGACGGCCCAGGGGGCGGGCGCGAGGCGGCGGCGCCCGGCGGCCCGGGAGAGGCCTGACCGCCACTCCCCGCGCAGAGCGCCCCGGGGCCTGGACATGAGCGCCCAGGAGCCCCCGCAGGGTCGGAGATTCCCCATTGAGGCCGGAGACTCCCGTGGCCTTGCCGCCTCCCCCGAGTCCCAGGACAGCCCGGAGGCGGTAGCGACGGAGCACAACCCGGTCAGGTGAGGCCCGCGCCAGCCTCCTCCGCCCGTCCCGCAGCCCCGCCCTCGGTCCCACTTGGCGCCCCCAGCAGTCAGGTCCCCGCATCCACGTCCGGACCCCCGGGGACCCAGGTGCACTCCCTGGATGTGCCCCACAGGATGGGCCGGGCCCCCGCCTCAGCGCCCCCTGTCGCGCCCCGCTTTCCCCAGGCCGCTTCGTCGCTGCCCCGGATGCCACTGCCTGACGCTGCTGCACGTGCCCATCGACGTCTACCTGGCCATGGGCGGGAGCCCCCGGGCCCGCGCCACGTGAGTGCGCCTGCTCCCTGCGGCTCCGCGGGAGCTGGGCGGGAACGAGGCCCCCCCGCGGGCCACCACACTGAGGTCGCATGCGCCGAGCACGAGACAATGATGCACATTTTAAAATAAATGATGCACATTTTAATAAAGCACAGCATAAACTGTTCTTTCCACTCCGGGCTGGCAGTGTATGTCTATCCGTCGGGCCCACCAGCTGCTCTGTCCAGTCCAATAACACTTTCCCTTCTGCGGCCTCCTCGCTTGGACACAGCCCTAGGGGCCCGCCCTTCCACCTTTCAACCTACGCCACTTCGCTCCTCCCATTTCTTGCTGGGCAGCCTTTCCCCTGGGGCCCTGCCCTTGTCCGAGATCTCTCTAACCCTCTCCTAGTTTTCCGGTGAAATTCACATCACTGTGCTGGACCCCGGTGACCCACAGAAGTGGGGGACAGGAGGGAGAGGTGGGCCGACAAGTAACATAGAATACAGCCAGTGGCCACCCACACCAGGCCCATTATTTATTTATTTATTATTATTATATATATTTTTTGAGACGAAGTCTCGCTGTTTCCCAGGCTGGAGTGCAATGGCGCGATCTCTGCTCACTGCAACCTCCGCCTCCCAGGTTCAAACAATTCTCCTGCCTCAGCCTCCCGAGTAGCTGAGACTACAGACGCCCCACCAGGCCCATTTTAATCCTCTCCAGGGAGAAGATGGTTCTGGGACTTGCTCTTTGCGGTCCTAGGCGCCTGGGGCCTTCCTTGTTGGAAGGGTTTGGAGCTGCCCTAGTCCATCCTGAGACTTGGTTTCTCCTAGGACAGAAGAGATCATAAAAAGATTGGGGGAGAGGCCATTTGAAAAACCTTGGCTTGCCGGTCATGCTGGCTGACGCCTGTAATCCCAGCACTTTGGGAGGCCAAGGCAGGTGGATCATGAGGTCAGGAGTTCGAGACCAGCCTGGCCAACATGGTGATACCCCATCTCTACTAAAAATATAAAAATTAGCTGGGTGTGGTCGTACACACCTGTAATCCCAGCCACTTGGGAGGCTGAGGCAGGAGAATCACTTGAACCCAGAAGGCAGAGGTTGCAGTGAGCTGAGATCATGCCACTGCACTCCAGCCTGGGCAACAGAGCAAGACTCTATCAAAAAAAAGAAAAAAAAGAAAGAGAAAGAAAGAAGTTGGTTTAACTTCCTATTTTACAGATGAGTGAACTGAGCCTTTGAGACTCAGTTCCCCCAATGAGAAGTGACGCTAGCACACTCCTTGGCATCCTCAGACCACATGCCCTAAGATCTACCCTCGGAGGGGCCCATGACAGGAAGCCTGCCCGGAAGTGGTAGTATTTAAGCTAAGCAACTATTTTCTACTTTCCAATTTTGCTTTAATGAGCCCGTATATTCTGCTTTCCAATTTTGTAGGGAGGGAGTATAACCTAAAGGTTAGGTTCCGTCTCCTGTACCCTGAGATCTAAGGGCAATTAATTCAACACCCGCATCTAATCCTCATGGGGTAGAGAAGTCCAGACTCTCCCTACAGCACCTTAGAATTCCACAGTCACCCAAAAGGGATACCCTTCTCAGTTTCCACATAAAATGCTGTCCCAGGCAGTCCCCATGTAGGAGGCTTACTAAAAGGGCCTATTTCCTCACTGGTTTTTTTTAATTAAAAAAAAAAAAAAAAGGCCGGGCGCGGTGGCTCAAGCCTGTAATCCCAGTACTTTGGGAGGCCGAGACGGGCGGATCACGAGGTCAGGAGATCGAGACCATCCTGGCTAACACAGTGAAACCCCGTCTCTACTAAAAAATACAAAAAACTAGCCGGGCGAGGTGGCGGGCGCCTGTGTCGCAGCTACTCGGGAGGTTGAGGCAGGAGAATGGCGTAAACCCGGGAGGCGAAGCTTGCAGTGAGCTGAGATCCAGCCACTGCACTCTATCCTGGGCGACAGAGCGAGACTCCGTCTCAAAAAAAAAAAAAAAAAGACATCAGCTGGTCTCTTTGGACTCTACCAGCCCCCAAATAGTGAATCCTTCTCATTCTTCCTTTTTTTTTTTTTTCCCCATCTCTCCCACTGCCTTTCTCCTGTCTTCTCAACCTTCCTTTCCTAAAAATTAAAAAAAAAAAAAAAAAATAGGCCAGGCATGGTGGCTTAGGCCTGTAATCACAGCACTTTGGGAGGCTGAGGCACGAGGATCACTTGAGCCCAGGAGTTCAAGACCAGCATGGAAAACAGCAGGATCCCATCTCTAAAAACGAAACAAAACCCAAAAACCAGGTACGATGGCATGTGCCTGTAGTCCTAGCTACTGGGGAGCCTAAGGCAGGAGGATTGCTTAAGCCCAGGAGTTTGAGGCTGCAATGAGCCAAGTTCACACCACTGCACTCCAGCCAGAGCAAGAGAGTGAGATGCTGACTCTAAAAAAAATTAGACCGGGTACGGTGGCTCACACCTGTAATCCCAGCACTTTGCGAGGCCGAGGCGGGTGAATCATAAGGTTGGGAGATCGAGACCATCCTGGCTAACGTGGTGAAACCCATCTCTACTAAAAATACAAAAAAAAAAAGCCAGGCATGGTGGCAGGAGCCTGTAGTCCCAGCTACTTGGGAGGCTGAGGCAGGAGAATGGTGTGAACCCGGGAGGTGGAGCTTGTAGTTAGACGAGATCGCGCCACTGCACTCCAGCCTGGGTGACAGAGTGAGACTGCGTCTCAAAAAAAAAAAAAAAAAAAAAAATTTAGAAACCAGTTACTGCCAGGTCCCACATGCCTGATTTGTGAAGGATACAAAGATTCTAGACGCAGTTCTTGCCAGTGGGACTAGTTAGCTCTAGAATGTCCATGAGCAAGGGGAAGGGCATTCCCTTTGGGGAGGAAGCATTGTGGGTAAAGGCCTGGAGGCAGGAAAGTGAAGGACAAGTTCAAGAAACTCAGTTCATCAATTTTCGTCAACACCTTCCTGGGCCATGGCTGGTACTGAGAATCCAGGTCTGAATTTGACATCATTTTCCCTTTCAGAGCATAGAATGCAGGGGATCCAGGAATGGGTTAATAGAAGAGAAGCTGGATCAAGGAGACCTTTGCATACCAGGTGAAGGAGTCTGAATTTTGTTCTGCAGGCAGGCAGAGTATGACAGGTTCCTAGCTGGGTCATTTCACTCTCCTATTTCTCTTCTCTTCCATCCTGGTCTCTGTTTCTTCTTCCTCCTTCTCACTGGAAAAGCCACTGGCCGAAACTAGTGCTGAGTTCAGGTCCTGACTCTGTTTTTTTTTTTTTTGTATTTTTTAGTAGAGACAGGGTTTCACCGTGTTAGCCAGGATGGTCTTGATCTCCTGACCTTGTGATCTGCCCACCTCGGCCTCCCAAAGTGCTGGGATTACAGGTGTGAGCCACCGTGCCCGGCCCTGACTCTGTTTTTCTAACTGTGCAATCTTGAGCTAGTTACTTAGCCCCTCTGAGCCTCCATCTTCAAATCTGTAAAGTGGGGTTAATTGACACCTGGTGGAAAGTTTCAGCAAGGACCTCTATGTATAGCACCACACAAGAATCACTGCCACAGCTACCACTTGATAAGCAAGAGAGACTGCTACGGCTGCTGCTCCTACCTTTGGCTTCAAGGGGCAGCAGAGAGCCAGACAGCCAAAGACACTGTCCCCAGGGGTTGGGTGACATCCAGCCCTGAAGAGGGCTGAGGAAACCCTCTTGTCTCTCTCTGCCAACTTCCTAGCAGTTCTGTTCAGGAGCCTAAGAACTTGGTGGGGGGATTGGGGGCAGGGGAATTTCCAGGGGAATCCCCAGGTAGCAAAGACAGAGCTGCCTCCCTTACCCTAAAGGGTACATCTGTCCCCAGACCCCAGTGCAGGACCCAGTGTAGATCCCAGCCTTACTCTCTGGGCCTGAGGAATGGGGAGGGGCCAGGCAAAGGGGGATGCTCGAATCACTGCCTTCCCTGACTTCTTTCTCAGACACCTTATTAGCCAGCCCCTCCCTAAGGGACCCCCTTTTAGAAGGAGGGGGCGAAGTACAGATGGACCCCCCAGGTTACCATGGAGACAGCAGGGAAAGGGTTGCTGTATCACCATGGCAATAATTGACGTCAGTGCTACCCTTTCCCATCGCTTGATATGAGAGGGGGACAGCCACCCCAACCACAAGCAAATCCCCCACAAATCCTCCTCCTCTTACTGAGCCAATCAACCAGGGGGGTCGCCAGACTTAATATAGCACAGGAGTTAAAAGCACAGACTCTGATGTCAGTCAAACCTTGGTTCAAATCCTCACTCTGCCTCACCCTAGCCGTGCAAATTTGAGCAAGTTCCTTAACCCCTTGAAGTCTCATAGGTGCCATGGGGATAAATAAGCTATGTGCCTCCAAGGATTACATGAGGATGACATGGGATCATGCAGGGAACAGGCGTGGGGTCTGCCTCACCCGAAGTGCACATTGGCATTAGGGACAGTCAAGAATCCTACTCACCACCTTGGGACTTGTCAGGGGATTGTGGACCTCCTGATACAGACTCACATCCCCTAGAGGGCCCCCAGGACTTGTAAGGACTGGGCCCCAGGGTTTGAGCATCTCAGGATTTGGGGGTCTCAGAGTGGAGCCGGAAACAGTGGAATTTCCAGGCTCTGAGGAAACCCCAGATGCCACTTTCCCTGAAACCTCATCACATCCGGACTCGGACCCAGCTTCCCCTTCTCCTCCCCTCTGCCTAGTGCTAGGCCTTATTAGCAGCCTCTACCTCTTAGGGGCCTCCATCTGCTCCCCTAAGAAAAAGGATGGGGTGCCCAGGCATGGTGGCTTACGCCTGTAATCCCAGCACTTTGGGAGGCTGAGATGGGCAGACCTCTTGAGGTCAGGAGATTGAGACCAGCCTGGGAAACATGGCAAAACCCTGTCTCTACCAAAAAAAAAAAAAAAAAAAAAAAAATTGCCAAGCGTGGTGGCACATGCCTGTAGTCCCAACTACTTGGGAGACTGAGGCGGGAGGATCACCTGAGTTTAGGAGGTCGAGGTTGCCATGAGCCAAGATCATGCCACTGCACTCCAGGCTGGGCAACAGAGTGAGACTCTGTCTCAAAAGGAAAAAAAAAGAGAGAGAGAGAGAAAGAAAGAAAGAGAAAGAAAAGAAAGAACGAAAGAAAGAAAGAGAAAGAAAGAGAGAAAGGAAG